GAGTTACAGAAGAACACAGACAACTAAACAAGGTCATGAACAAGACAATACATGACCAAAGTGAGTTCAGCAAAGACATAGAAGCATAGAAAGGGGCCAGACAGAAATACTGAAGCTGAAGATCACACTGCTGAACTGAAAAATTCCTCAGAGGGATTAAAATGAGACTTGATCAAGCAGAAGAAAGAATAAGTGAATTTGAAGAAAAGTCAGTAGTCAGAGGAACAAAAGAAAAAAATAACAACAACAAGAAAAGAGTGAAGAAAACCTAAAAGACTTACGGGACTTGATAATGTCATAAGAGACAACTGTGACAATTATATGCCAACAAATTGGATAACCTGGGAGAAATAGACAAATTCTTAGAAACATACAACCTACCAAGGTTGAATCATAAAGAAATCAATCATTTAAACAGATCAATAACAAGTAGGGAGAGCGGTTCAGTAATCAGAAACCTCCAGAAAAGAAGAACCCAAGACCAGACGGCTTCAGCGATGAATTCCACTGAATATGTGAAGACGAATGAACGCCAATTTTTTAACTCTTCCAAAAAGTTGAAGAGGATGAAACACTTCCAAACTCATTTTAAGAGACCAGCATTATCCTGATACTAAAACCAAACAAAGACATCACAAGAAAAGAAAATTATAGGACAACAACTCTGGTGAATATAAATGCAAAAGTCATTAACAAAATAATATTCTAACTGAATTCCAAAGCATATTAAAGGGATCATACACCATGCTCAAGCAAGATTTATCCCTGGGAGGCAAGGATGGTTCAAAATACACAAGTCAATAAATGTATGCGACACTACATTAATAAAATGAAGGATAAAAATCATATGATCATAAGCAAAAAAATGGAAAAAGATATATCATACAAACAGCAAAAAAAAGCTGGTATAGTAAACCCATGAAAACAAACGAGGCTTTCAGAATAACAAAAGATAAAGATAAAGGTGTGATGGTTAATTTTATGTTTCCACTTTTCTAAGCTTGATACCCAGATATTTGGCCAAATATCCATTTAGGAGGTGCCATGAGGCATTTTTCAGATGATATTAACATTTAGATCAGTAGGCTTTGAGTAAAGCGGATTGCTTTCCATAATGTGAGTGGGCTCCATCCCGTCACCTGAAGATTTCTCTTAAGAGAAACCTATTAAGGTCCTGGAGATAGAAGGAATTTTGCCTCCAGACTGCCTTTGGACGTGAACTACAAGATGAGCTCGTCTCCGAGTTTCCTGCCTGCCTGCCTGCCCTGCAGAATTTGGACTTGCCAGTCCCCACAATCACATGAGCCAATTCCTAAAAGTCTCTGTCTCTCTGTCTCTGTTGGTATTTACACCAACCCCCCGCCCATCCACCACACACACACACACACACACACACACACACTATG